TTAAGAAACCAGGCTGTGGGCAAGTAACCTGGGTAAATATGAATAGAGCCTTCGTCATAACCATACTTCAGCCCCTACTGCTTAAAAGTCAGTTCTGGTTCTGTTCCCTGTCACAAAGGCCCATGTGGGATAATCTAAAGAAAAGTAAACCTGTATGTGATCTGGGTTCTACTGGATAGGCCCTCAATACCTTGTAGAGAAGCGATAAACTCATACACCTCTTCTACACTCCAACGGCTGGGATTGCTGGACAGGAACACAGGGTTGATGCCATGTAATTCCGGCGTCGGTGGCGCTGTATTGGGGTTCCCCAGGTCACGTTCTCCATGCCCAGTTCGCACAGATAGAGGCCCAGGAGATGTCGGAGAGAGTGCTTCATCGTAACTGGAATTATCTGAACCCCGGCTAGAGTCCTCTTGACCCTACGGAGAACAACACAAAGCAGTGAGGTCATGAATAAGTGTCAGAAGGTTTCTCTCCCTCGCCCCTTCCCAGTCAACTGGGTTCAGGTTAATACTGGGCATAGAGGAGAAACTAGTATTACAGTGAAGAAACTGTACTTTGCAAATGCCCGGAGTCACTAGTCCACTCTCAAGTAACTTTCAAGTATAAACTATCACTTTCTTGATTCTCCCCTTCTTCCAAGAATCGTAATCTAGATTTTGTCAAATGTAATGATTAATGGACACATGAACCAGTAATCAGGTGAGAAGAGACCAGGAGTCAGGATCTCTTGGAATTTGGAGTAATGCCATCAATACAAAACTCAGAGTTCTGGTCTCACACTCTTTGACCGGGGCAAAGGAACTGCCCCGTAGGGAAAGAGGAAGGAAAAAGGACCATTTTAAAAGTTGCCGGCTCTGCAAAAGACGCTCACCCGGTGGCGCTTGCCCTGGATTTTGGCACGGGCGATGTCAGAGGAGCTACGGCGGGGTCCACGCCGACGAACGCGAGCATAGTTGGCTTCTTGGAACTCTTTCATTTTTTTCCTCTTCAGCCGGAACTGGTGACTACAGCTCACATTATACCTACGGGTCGGGGCATATGTGGGATGTCAGCGGTGCCAGAGACAACCACCTGGCTAGCCTTCACTGCATGGGAATTGGTATTTTAGGTACCGACTCGGGGAGGAACATGAAAGCAAAGAAGACGGGAAACATCAGCTGTGAGGTGATGCTAGGGGAGGGGCCCACTGGTAGATGGAGAAGCTGGTGCTGAAGGTGAGGAAGGGAGGGTGGGGGCCCATGGTACCTCTTAGCGCAGGTCATTGAGCAGAACCTCTTGGAGCCGCGAAACTGCTCAGCAGGAGCATACTTCCCGCAGTACTCACACTTCAGGAGATCTGCCTTCTTATCTAGCTCTGGAAAACAAGGCATCCCTGGAGACTTGTCACTGGGACTGCTGCCGCTTGGGCCATCATTAGGCCCACAGCTGACCCTAATCACTTTGAGGGGTTGCCCCCCAAGACCTACACAACCTAATTCAGAATCCCTCAAACATAAAGCTCAAAATCCAAAACCATAAAGACACATCCCTCAAGAACAGCATGGTCTTCCTGACTTAAACCAGCCTAGTTTCCAGTTTCGATGACTGATTATCCCAATTCATACTCTCAGACTGCAGACAAGACTGCAATTCAGAATAGGAGAGAGGAACTAATTACTAACTAGAAAGATACAGGATCCCTCTCCCAACAAAAGTTTACAAAAGCAGTGGGAGAAATGTAAACAAGAGACCTTAATATAGATTATAAAACCTAGAATAAGGAGAAATGGAAATTAAGAAATATACTATTTTAGATCATCTTTTGAAAAATACATCCTTACAGTAAACAAGTAAATAAAATTCAGGTTGGCTTGTTAAATCACCCTAATCCGATAGGGAACTCCTTTTGTGTGATTCTACACATTCTGATATTTAATACAGTTCCTGTGTGTGGATGGACTTTGTATACCTCCCACTTTAAATAATTACCATTTTACACTGAGTCCTCAAACACATCTCCCTGAGCCTCCTTCCCCAGATGGGTCTCTAAATAAATACTTACCAGCAGATGGGCTGTCCCCTCCCAAGGGGCCCCCTGACTGATTCTCATTCAGCCCTGTCGGGAGGCCAGTCTGTAGTGGCTTCTCAGACTCTTTCAGTAACTGAGAACAACCCACCTGTGCCAGAAAAAGTTTACAGTTCGGTTAGCCTAGTCCCTTTCTGCTTCTCTATAACTTTCCCCAGTTATTTCTCACCGCCATGCCTTTGCCTGGTTCTCGGAGTTAATGGCCAAGTCTGGTTTAGAGAAACATTTTTCAACATGGCAATCAAGAGGCCCTAACTGGCTCTTTTCAGATGAGCCATTGGAAAACAGGTTCCTACCTTGGCTCTCTAGCTTGTCCTTTTCCTTCCGAAGTTGCAGATACCTGTTGTTCTAGTCCTAGTTCTGCAAATCCTGGTATCTAGAAAAGTCCCTTAACTTCTCTACCACAAATTTCTTCATTATAATACAGCCTAGTTTGTGTAACTAAACATTATAGCTTCTTCCTTCTCTTCCCACCACTTTCATTTGCTGGTCTACACATATTCTTTCCTTTCCCCCTTCCCTTCCTTCTTTACAATTAACCATACAAACAACAGAACTGAACCATTCTCGAATAATTAAATGGTTCTGAGACTTGATTTTAGTGGACTTTGGAAAGATAATAATCAGACCAAGTCCCCACTTGAAAGTCCCACCTTATGGCCCTGCCCTCACCGGGAAAGGCTCTGCTCCTTCCTGGATAACGAAGCCTTCAATGATGTGGGTAAGAATCTGGGGCTTCACGATGGCCTGTGGAGGTTTTGAGTCACCCATTTGTCTGGACACCATGGCTAGTGTAGGAGGGGGTGCAGATGGGGCAGAAGCCAAGGCTACTAGTTCACTGCTTGGAGTATTAGCATTCACACCAGTCACTGGTTCAACTTTCTCTGGAACAAATTAAGGAACAGATAGGGGATGACATAATTGATCCATCTATTAGCCAAGCCAGTCTGATCTTCCACAATCATACATGTTCACCTTTGATCATTCACCCTGGAGTCCCTGTTTTTGGATCTACCCATTCGTCCACCAAGTTCAGGCCCATCTTCTATGGAACCAGATTTAGCTCCGAGCTCACTCAGAACAGGTCTCTAATCTCCGCACTCCAAAAGGACTGCAGAAGTCAGTTACTCACCTCCAAGACTGCTCTTCTCCTCCATGGCCTTTGGGCTCTCGGCTACTGGAGATGCCTTGGCAGGAAGCATTGAACCCAATGTGGAGACATCGTCTCTCTCCTCCTCAGACTCTGCCTTGCGTTTGACAGCCAGTGTCTGGGGTTTGCTCTATAAAGTGAAGAATAGGAAAGAAACCAAGATTTATGAGTGAAGGATAATAAGGAACCTCAATGACTCTCATACTGTCAGTGAAAATGTTCTTAGTTCCAGATTTCCCAATTTGTGTACTTTCCACAGTACACTAAAATTCCCAGTCATTCCCAAGAAGCGTATCTTCTACATCAGGACAAAAGAAACTGTCACATTTAGTCCTGACCTACACCTCGGGATCCTGGGTTCATTATGGCCCCACTGAGAACCACTTTTTCTAAAGACCAATTTAAGTGATTAAGGCTATCTTGATCTAAGTACAGATCCAAAAACCCAGAATGATTTCAGTAGCAAATTTAGGAGTATGAAGTACAGATTATTATATGCATTAATGTCTCCTACAAAAGGAACAAATAAATACCAGTATCTTAACCTTCCATCAGTGTCTGTCTTATAAAAGAAGCACATAGCAGTTTAAGTTTTACAGTTTGTAACAAATAGTTGTCACAGACGAAACAATTAACAGAGCAGTTGCTGCAATACCATATTCGTGCGCATGCGTGTGCGTGCACACACACACCACACACATACATGCTCACTCACACATATTAATTACGTTATCTGTCATGGACTAAATGTTTGTGGTCCCCTCCCCCTCCCAATCCCTAGGTCCTAACCCCAGTATGGCTGTATTTGGAGATGGGGCTTCTAAGGAAGTAATGAAGGTAAGATGATAAATAGCAGCATCTCAACCTTCCCAACTCTTTACTCCCCTCCCAAGTTAAGATCCATATGGGTCCACTGAGCCCCAGGTGCACTCAAGGGTGACTGTGCCCTCAAAACCATCAGACCTCACTCACCGGCAGGTGCACGGACTGCATGTAGAAGGCAGCAGGCACCTGGGCCACAGCAGGTGAGGAGGTCGTAGCCCCAGCCTTCACCACATGTGCTGTCCCCTGCATGGGAGCCAGGCTCATCCCAGAGGCCAATGTGGGGGGGCATTCTTGCAGCGCCCCGGGAGCCTGGGATGAAGGTGGTGAGGAGGCCAAGTGCGCCTGCCCAGGCTGCACCGTATTGGGCATCCCCCGGGAAGTAGGTACGGCAGCCGCCAGCTGTGCCAACCCCAGAGCCTGCGCCTGGGCCGTCCCCGGTTGCCGGGTGCCCACGACTTGCACAGGGATGTGGGGCGGTGGTTGCTGGGCAGCTGACATCTTCGTGGCGCCTAGCTGAGGAGGCTTGATGGGTGCTACAGGTGGCTTGGACTGGATGGGGATGGGTGGCTTGGGGATTGGGTCAGGCGGGAGGGACAAGGGTGAAGACTGAAGCATGGGTTGAACCACCAGGGTCTGGGCTTGCTGCGGGGTCTGGGAAGGTGGGACCTGCTGCGTAGGCGGGCCCTGCGGCGGCTGAGGGGCAGGGAGGGGGGTGGCCGGCGGTGGCGGCGGGGGAGGCGGGGGGGGGCGGCGGCGGGGGCGGCGGGGGCTGCTGCTGCTGCTGCTGCTGGGCCAGCTGGAGGTGCGTGGCCGTGTGCAGGAGCTGGGACTGCCGGTGCTGGAACTGCTGCTGGTGGTGGATGGCAATCTGCTGCTGGATGACCACCTGCTTCTGCTGCAGGTGGATCTGCTGCTGCTGCTGAATCAGGGAGTGGGGCTGGATCTGCGTGTAGGTGGCTACAGCAACAAGCCCAGGACGGAACAAAGAAGAGCGGGAAATAATCATTAACATTACAAGTTAAAAGTGAAATCACCTTTCCAAGGCGTACCGAGCTTTGGTATCACACAGGGAATGGCAACCTAACCGGGAAGGACCGGGGAGATCGCTTCATTCCTACTCTTCTGAGTCAGACATAACCAACTATCTCTCTCTACAATGAAGGACCTCAAGGGAAGAAGTCCCTTGCGCTGTCATTTCACGATCCTCAGTAATTTCTTGCAGCCAGCTAACTTTTATTTTCTTTGCTACACTAAATCCTGTCCGTTTGATCCAGCAAAGGAGAAGGGCTGGCCCATCGCCCGTATGATTAGACTGAGTTCTTCAAGGGCTGAGTCCCTGCTTTCTACATTTGTACATCCCCAGAACCCAGCCCAGCACCTGGCACATGAGAAAGACTTAATGGTCACTGAGAGAATAAATGTCCACAGAGGTAAAGATTCCAACAGCTTCCCGTGGATGCCTCGGTTCTTCAGACTCATCAGGTTAGGTCACCACCTAGGAGAAGTCTCAAGAGCCAGCTGCTGCAGGCCTGGCCTTTACCCAGTTTCCTCTGCGGCAGGCGGCGCCGACAATCTCCCCAACTCGCGACTCTCCCAGACTGCCCAGGGAGCATGTAGGAGATGAAAGCACTTCGGAAACCGAGTGCTACGGTATGTAAATACTAGGTAGGAGGAGTATAGCTGATAACGAACTCATAACTTTTTGTAAGTAAATCATCCAAATACAGCAACAACTAAAGTGCTAGAAACAAGGTAGGGAAAAATAAACATTACCAAGTAAGGTGCACACATCTAACTATACCGAACCACAGTCTAAAAGCAACTATAAACCATTGGGGTTATTTTTCTTTTTTTATCCTTATCATTGATCCAGATGATCACAAGTTCACTATATTAAACCGTGGCTCGGGCACCTGGGTGGCTCAGTCGTTAAGCGTCTGCCTTCGGCTCAGGTCATGATCCCAGGATCCTGGGATAGAGCCCCACATCGGGCTCCCTGCTTGGCGGGGAGTCTGCTTCTCCCTCTCCCACTCCCCCTGCTTGTGTTCCCTCTCTCGCTGTGTCTCTCTGTCAAATAAATAAAATCTTTAAAAAAAAAAAAAAACCGTGGCTCTATTTGCTAGTCCTAAGTGCTCTAAGGCACTTACACCATCTCCGCTCTACCCTGGCCCAACAAATCATCATTAAACAGAGTGAGGAGGGGCACCTGGGTGGCTCAGTCGGTTAAGCGTCTGCCTTCGGCTCAGGTCATGATCCCAGCATCCTAGGATCGAGCCCTGCATTAGGCTCCCTGCTCAGCCGGGAGCCTGCTTTTCCCTCTCCCTCTGCCCACCCCGCTTGTGATCTCTTCCTCCCCCCACCCCCTGCTTGTGATCTCTCTCTCTCTCTGTGTCAAATAAATAAAATTTTTTAAAAAAGAAAATAAAATAGGGGCGCCTGGGTGGCTCAGTCGTTAAGCGTCTGCCTTCGGCTCAGGTCATGATCCCGGGGTCCTGGGATCAAGCCCCACCCACATCGTGCTCCCTGCTCCGCGGGAAGCCTGCTTCTCCCTCTCCCACTCCCCCTGCTTGTGTTCCCTCTCTCACTGTGTCTCTCTCTGTCAAATAAATAAAATCTTTAAAAAATAATAAAATAAAATAAATGGAGTGAAGAGAGAAGTCATCCCTTAAGCTAAATCGTAAGCTCCATGAGGACAAGGAATCTGTTTTTCAAAGATGCATCCCTAACACCTCCTACACCTCCTACAGCAGGCAATTCAGTTAAGAACTGGGTAAATGAATGGGTGGGATGGGTAAACTGACAAACTCAGGGCCAAGAAGGGGGGATTGCTGCCTGGTGGAAACAGAGATCTACCTCTGTTACCCATCCTCCTCTCTCCCTGGACTAAGATGATCAAGGCTGATGTGATTTTCTTTCCTTCCACTACTCCAGGACCAAGAGAAGCAGGAAAAATGGCAAAGCAATGTACTCTGAAGATTTCAAACAAGTTCTGAGAGAATAATGACCTTGGGAGAGGTGACAGCTTACCTGAGCTAATAAGGGTCTGGCTGGGAGCAGGTGTAGCTGTCCGTGTCAGGTTCATGCCCACATTCTGCTGACCAGGCCCATCTGCTTCTGCCTTCTTGGCCGCTGCACTTTCTGCTTCTGTCTGGCTTCCCTGACTCACAGTCACTGTTTGCGCTGCGGGCAAGGGCTGCACCACTCCTGTGCCCTTCCTGGGACAGCTCCCACCCCCACCCATTCCTGAGGAAGGCAACTGACCCAAGCCCCCAGGTGCCTGGCCACCTCCGCCTGGCCCCACGGACCCGGGGATGCTACTCCCACTGCCTGCACCAGCTTGACTGAGGTTGAGGGACTGGCCCGAGGCCCCAGAGGAAGCCTGAGCCACAGCGAGGGCCTGGCTAGAGGCCTGGGACAGGCTAGAGACAGGGGAGGCTCCAGGAGGAATGGCCTTCTGAGTAGAGCCTTGCATCTGGGGTCCTTGGGCTGAGGCCTGTTGGTTCCTCACTGCCAAATTCTGCACCTGAAAGATAAGAAGAAAAAGATATACTGAGAAAAGGGGACAGGGGGCATGAAGGTCAAAGACTTCTGTGACTGATTCAGAAGCAGTGAAGATAGCTACAGATATTCCCCAGCCCCCCCTCAAACCTTGTTCCCCCACCTTTACAATTACATACATTAAAGTCCTTCCAGTCACCCAGGGAGGGACTCTTGAATCCTATTTGATTTTCAGTCTCCTTCATTCACTATCAAATCTATCAGCAAGTTTGCTCATTTATTCCTTCAAAATGTCTCAGATTTTCCCTTTCTTCTCCGTTCGTTCATTCATTCAACACTGACCAAATGACCTACTATGTTTCAGGTACTACACTGGATACTGGAAATGCAAAGACGAAAGACACTGTCCCTGCTCTTAATGAGTACTTTCTACCGAAACAGACAGACAAGAAAATCAACGATAGCCCTATCATACTATGCAGAGATCTGCGCAAAGTGCCATGGGAGCAGAGGAGGAAGATGGACTCAGACCGGGGAGATTAGGGAAGACTTCCTAAAAAAGTCTTTTGTTCCATCTGAGACTCCATGGGTGAGAGCAAAAGCAAAGTTTGAAGACATAGGTAACATTTGGAAGACCATCGAGCCAAGGAAGAGCATAGCATTTTTGGAAATTATGAATATTTCACTACGTTTGGGGTGAGATGGAGGGAGTGGAAAGAAATGAAGCTAGGAAGACAGGCTGAGGCCGGGGAGGGAGGAAGGTTTCAGATCAGGAAGGGCTTGGTGCATTCAAATGAGGAGAGTCTGAACTTTAGTTCGGGAACAGAAAGTTTATCCATCTTCCCCACTGTTCTATTTCCAGCACCTAGCACAGTGCCTGACATAGGAAGTACCCCAGAATATGAAGAGAGGACTGATGAGCACTTCACTGATGACAGGAAGCCACTGAAGAATATTAATCAAAATAAACGTAATCAACTCTACAGCTGAAACCATTCTCTTAAACATTGCTGACAGAAGTGTAAATCAGTACAACCGCTTTGGCAAACGGTTTGGCATCTTATCCTCAAGCTGAACATTCACACACCCCCTAATCCAGGAATTCTACAGGAGAAACTCTTGCTATATACAACAGGAGGCATGTGTGAGAAAGTTCACAGCAGCACTATTCATAGTTAACGAAAGTCTGGAAGCAACCCAAATGGCCATTATCAGAAGAGAAGATGAATGAACTAAAGTATATTCACATGGTTCAATACTACATAGAAATTAATAAAATACAATGACATGCAATAATATGGATGGATCTTGACAATAAGCTATTAACAAAGTATTCCCCCCAAATTACATACAGCACAAAAACCTTATAAACTTAAATACAAATATATACACACACACACACAAAATATAGAACATATGGTATCTGGAATTACTTCTAAATAATCCACAGGTGGAGGAAAGTGGCCTGGATAGAAAGGCGATGTGTTGATAAATGTTGCAGCTGGCTGGCAGGTGCAAAGGGATTCATATTTTTTTCTATTTTTGCATAAGTTTGAAATATTCCATAATAAAAAGTACTTTTTAAAAATATATGTAAACACGATAAAACTATAAAAAAAGGGACACAGGGAAGGATGAACCTAGGAATCAGAATGATTGTTACCATGGGTAGGGGCAGGCAGTGGGTGGAACTGGGGATTGCTTATTACATCATTAAAACATAGTAAATAACTAAGAGTGGGCCATGAATGGACCACTGCTGACAGGATGTCACAAACCAAGGATTATGATTTATCAAATTCAGTATACCAGAAGTACCATTTAAAATAATGTTAGGAACAACAGGTATTTTCTTATTTAAAAAACTTATTCAGATAGTAATATGGAAGATGCTTAGAGGTAGACAAGGCTGAAGTCAAGAGACCAATTAGAAAACCAGTAGAGTAATGCAGGTGAAAAATATAAAGACCCTGAGTTCAGGCAAGCAGTAAAGAGGTGAGAGCTTTTGAGAGAGATTGACAAGATTATCAGGATGGGGTGCTGGGGCACTTAATGTGATCGGGCAATTATATAATTTGTTTCTAATCAGCTTTCCATAATGACTATTTAAAACTTTCCTGGTCTCCCGATATACCTCAGAACCACCTGCTCTTCCCCCTCTCCCTCATCACCCCTGCAGAGACAATAAAACCATCACATGAGCACACTGCAGCAGTTCCATCACCAAATCTATACATGCCCTTCACAAACCCCCACCACTTCCTTCTCCCTGCTCTCCCTTCTATCCTCCCTCCTATCAAGTCCTTCTCCACACTCAGGGCCCCAGCCCTCCTCCTTCTCAAGGAACTTGTACTATCAATTCCTTCCTGTATCTTCAACCTCACCGCTAAAGGCACCCTCCCATCACACCTGAACCCCACTTCCCCAACCCCAGCTTCATCCTCCTTTCTTTTTATTACTAAACTGGTAATAATTGGTTACATTCACTGCATCTATTCTCACTATCCAGCCATTCCTCAAGTGATACTAGTTTGGCTTCAACCCCCCCAAACTCCACTGAAATGGTTCTCCGTCCATATTAGTAACTCTATCTTGTCTCTCTACTGCGTTTGACAGAGGACTCCCTGCCGTTCTAACATTCTGCTCCCTTGTCTTCATGACACCACATAATCCAGATTTTCCCATTTCTCTGTCACTCCTTCCTACTCCCCTCTGCCAGTTCATCAGCCTCTACTTGACCTTGAACTATTTTCTAAACAGTCCTAACCCTCAGGGCTCCATCTTAATATAAAGGCTTTTCTCTTGTCAATCCATACCTTTCCCTAAGCAATGCCAAATGCTCTCTTGACTTCGATTATCATCTATGTGTCTACTACTCTTGAATGTTTATCTCCAACTCAGACCTTCCCTCTAAGCTCAAGCACCAAATATATAAAACAGCTGACCTCGTGACCCACTGACTCACAAGCACGTCTAAGACAGTGGTATCCAAAAGTTAACTTCACCCTAGATCCCCTTCTCCAACATTCTCCATCTCCTGAGTAGCACTAAGCAGCCGCCTCACCGCCATCACATCTCGTCTCTGGCACTTCCCTCAACTGAATCAGTTTTCCTCTTTCAAAGATCTTCTAAGTTTTTCTCAAATCTATTCATTTCTGTCCATCTCCGTTGTTACTGCCTAACCCAAACATCATCCTTCCCCGAAACTGTTGTTCTCCCTAGATTCACACTCACACCACTTCCATTTATTCTCCACAGAGGAGCCAACATAGTCTTTAAACAAAAAAAATGAACAAGCCTCGAACCTTTCTAGGTCACTTCCAAATTGAAAATCCTCCCATAGTATCCCATCACCCTTTGCATAAAGCCCAAAATCCTAAACACTGTTCCCAACGCCCTGCAAGATGAAGTTTCTCCTACCTCCCCGGTACCATCTCCATCCCCCTTTGCCAAACTCCAAGCACACAGGTCTTCTTTCAATTCCTCAAATATATAAAGCTCCTTCCCTCCTCTTTGGATTCAAGGGGTATTTGGACATAAGGTTCCCCCTGCCTTCACCACTCTCCTTCCATGTCTTCACCGGACACCCAATTTAAATGTCACCTCCTCGGGGCAGTCTTCTTGACTTTCACCCCGATCCCAAGGCTGAATCAGGTCTCTTTCTGTGTTTTCAGAGCACTCTGTACTTTCTAATGAAGCAATTATTAAACCATTCAGGTGATTCTTTGTGTAATGTCTGGTGCCTCAATGATTTGTAATCTCTAACTCATTTAATCCTCAACACACCCCAAAGTAGGTATTTAACAATAGCTACTTTATACACGAAGAAACTGGCAAAAAGATGTTAGGCCATTTGCCTAGGTCACACAGTAAGTCATGGACTTGGAATCTGACCCAACTATCAGATTCACATTTGCAACCACTACTCTGTCCCTCCACATATTGACACTCAAATATCTGATGAATAAAGAGATGGATAAATGGAAGAACTGGATATGAAACCAGTCTCAACCTCATCCTCTGATCCCACTGCTGTTACCATAGTCTAAAACGAAGGTCTTACTCTAGTAACTAAATGACCCCCAAGAATCTCTTACTAGGTTCCTTAACTTCTCTTTCTTCTCCAGGCACATGTTCCTAGATGATTCTTTCCAAAGTATTTTCCTTATCCTATTAATCTGCTGTGCAATAGCCAGCCTTGACCCCTGCTACCTATGAAGTTACTTGGCTTTCGGACTTCTCCCTGACAATGACCTTTTCTACCATCAGGTGTGTTGTCTCCACTTTATCCACTCATCCCCAACTCAGTCACATATGAATCAAGCCTTTACACACACTGCTCTCTCTCCAGTTTTCTTCTAACTCCAAATCAAATCCTACCGATCCTTCGAGAATCTCCTCAAGTATCCCAAAAGTCCTGAGCAGGGATGCAGCCAACTCTTCTCTAAACTCATGTGTCACTCCAAGTTAGTACCGTTTACTTTGTACCTCTTTGGGCTCTAAGATCTTTGTACTTCTTTGTTCTCTAAGATCTTTGAAGACTTGACTTGTCTTTCCTTTCAAGCTTCCCAAGTTTCTAGTGTATATCTGAGCACATCAGTAGAAAGAGCTCAACCTCAATATTTACTTGCTAACTGATAAACTAAAAGAATGAAAAAAGTTATTATGCGATCCCAATTTGTATTCCATCCATAAGTAGCAAAAACTCAGGCTCGAAATATATGTACATGTTTGGGGGTAAGGCATGGGAAGCAATGGTGAAGAAGACTTTCCTGGGCACACAGCGAGGAGAAACAGACTACTGAGAGTTGGCAGCCACAGTAACTCATAAAGAGAAGGAATCAAACATTCTTCCAGCAACAGCCAGGTGGGCTTCACATCTACCTAACTGCAGAATTCCCTCAATCACCCCTTACTTTAAGAGAGCACTGCAAATGAAAAGAACTAAGACCTCCTGAATAAAACTGAGCCATGGAGGGCTGAAAGAATATAAGGAAATCTGCCCTGGATTGAGAATAAGCCTTCCCAGATCTACAGGGCTGTTTTCAGTCAACTCCACTTCTCTTCCTAACTCAAATAAACTCACAAGTTACAAGGGATTCGAGTGCTATGGAAATTAAAAAAAGGGGAGAAAAAATAAGAATCCCGAGAAGTCGTAATGGGGTAGCAGGGTGGGCCCTGGTCTACGGTGGTTCCCTTCATCCTCCCCAGTGCCCATCCACAGGTCAAGTGGTTGCCACTGACCTGATCTGCATCTGTATGAACTCCCGGAGACTGAGCAGATGGCACCTCCTGCTGGACCGCAGCCACTGCCCCGTTAGGCATCAGGATGAGTTGGGAGGCTAGAGGCACATTCCGGCCCAGGGTCCGGTTTACCTGCAATAGGTTTCCCAGCTGTGGCTGGCAAGGAGAGGAGGAAGAGGAAGAGCAAAGGAAAGAGAACAAGAGGAGAAGAAGAAAGACAGAAGAAACGGAAGGGAAGGACCACAAGACAAAATAAACAGAAGATACGAAACTGCTAAGCCCTGCCCCTTTCCACACCAACCCAGGAGACCCTTATTCTCCATATGCGATGAATCATCCAGAAGGAAACCTAGAATGTATATAAAACTATAGATTGATATCAAAGAGTCAAACATCAAAGAAGTTGAGACAATGAGGATTTTAGAACAAGTATTTATGTATAGTAAGTAGACAGGCTAAGAGATAACACTTAGAATTTGGGTACTCGAGCCACAGGTTTGAAGATTAGATTCTATGTGACACCACTTCGGTCAAATATTAAGGCGGACACCTTCTCACTTAGGATCTCAATGCAATCTGCAGGCTACCTGTGAATACTGAGCATCACTTCTAGAGGTAAGGCAGGCCTAGGAAGTAGATCAGCATATCTTAACGTATCTGGGCAACCATGGTTAAATCAAACAGCTTTCACTCAAGTCTGTGGCAGGGGCATAACAATTATGCCCCTAGAACAATGGTGGTTGTGTTCGTGGCTTACCCGTAGATACATCTGGGCCTGGGACTGGTTGAGAGGTGGGGAGGTGGTGTTCCCCAGTAGCACAGATTGGGTCAAAGTGGTAGCACTGGGAGAGCTCACACTCTGGGATCGGCTGATGAGCTGGGCGGCCGACGTGGTGGCCAGGTTGATCTGTGTGGTACAGAAAGGAACAGAACTAAAGACTTAGGAGACGTAAAAAGAAATGCACATCACCGACAAATGCAGAGGGACACAGTGAAGAACAGAATATCTAATTTTCTTTCTTTCTTTTTTTTTTTTTTAAGAACAGACTATCTTATTTTCAGAGTCAGAGGGAAATGAATAATACCTTCCTGACCATAACTGTCATCCTGGCTACTGGAGGGTAGTACCAAAGTAAAGAAACTAGTCCCTAACCACTAACATTACCAGTTGAGAGGGAAAAGGAACAAAATGGAGCAGACTTCACTCCTTGTTAAAGGGTCCAGAGATCAGGGCGCCTGGGTGGCTCAGTTGTCAGGCATCTGCCTTTGGCTCAGGTCATGATCCCAGGGTCCTGGGATCGAGCCCCATAGGGCTCCCTGCTCAGCGGGGAATCTGCTTCTCCCTCTCCCACTCCCCCTGCTTGTGTTCCCTCTCTCGCTGTCTGTCTCTGTCAAATAAATAAATAAAATCTTTAAAAAAAAAAAAAAACGGGTCCAGAGATCAGTCCCGTCCCTTTGTCATCTCCTCTTCTGCCCCAGGATTTTCTTCCTCCTTTCTTAGACCTCCTCACTGAGACCCCTATATAGA